AGCCGGGAGGAGACTGTTGGGTTAGAAAGCAGCCGGGAGGAGACTGTCGGGTTAGAAAGCAGCCGGGAGGAGACTGTCGGGTTAGAAAGCAGCAGAGAGAAGCAGAAAGCATGACAGCGAAGAAAGAAACCAGACAGAGCTGCTGCTGCCGGGACACAAAACCAGATCCAGGGTTTGAACAGCGACGTGTTCTGAAACGTTACAGTTCACTTGAATCCTAAATGTTTGGATCGACGGCTAATTTGTAATAAATCTTCTCTGGATGTTAGTGAAGATAAGCGCTTCCTGTCTGTTCGTCATCGCCACCGTCTCCAAACCATAAATGGGGTTGATTCAACAAGTGGCCCTTTGAAAATGATTTCGGGGGGGCTGCACACCTGTACGCAGCAGAGTGACTCGTCCATCTCACTTGTTCAAAAGTGGCGTTAGCTTAGCTTTTTATAAAACGACCCTTTTGAAGACAACGATGAGAACCGGAGCAACAGAAGCATCGCTGTGGTTACAGAACACGACGGGCGACGTCACGCCTCTTTCTGAACGTTTCCCAACACACTCAGAAGAACAGGCGGTACGTCGATGGCCGCCGCCGCTGAGTGATCTGAAAAGTGAATGTTTGTAGTTTTCCAGTGACGGGGACCGAACAGGAAACCTAAATGTTTTTGGTGCAAGATGTTCAAGTGGGGAGGAGTTACTCTGCGGAGAAGAACGTGTTTTTACTCGTCTGAGGCGGCGCAGTGACGGGTCCTGCTGAGTATCCACCACCAGGTGTAGTGGTGGGGCCAGAGGGGGGCTAATGGTGGCCTTGGCCCCCATAGATTAATCTTCAGTCACCCCAGTCGTTTGAGGAAACTATACTTTTAAGCAAAACAAAACTAGAAAGCATAGTTTCCTCAAACGATAGGAGTGGCCATCTTGGATTTAGACGTCTCAACCCATGTTTCCACAGTGACCCGTCTTACACCAAGATGCAGCTACACGCCAAAATGGAAGGATGCTCATTTTTCAACTTATCCATAAAATCATTAGAAGAACAAACTTCTCTGATGTTGAAACCACGAGACACTGAATCCTGTCCTTCACGTGACAGAAATAAAGTTCTGCCATCTTGAAAACTTATTTCACTCCTGCAGCTCCTCGTCACAAATCACCTGATTTTCATTCCTCTTCTCTGCACATCACACCACCTGCTCCCTACTCTCACTACAGACGTCTATGAACATCCCCGCCCTGCCTGACCTCATCTGTCCACCTGTCCCTCACCTGCGAACCAGAAGGAGCCGTGAAGCGGACAGGTTTCAAACACGTCACTCTTCAAACCGGTTCTGACGGATCTGGCCCAGTGAAAGTTAACCCAGTTGTGGTTCGGTACCTTGTGAGGCCAGCATGGCTCCGGCCGTCTCGTGGAAGTCCAGCAGCTGCTGCAGAAACAGGATGGCCTGCAGAGGAAGGACAGAACAGGAACCTTCAGACCAGAACATTATAGAAATAATCCACGTTCAGCAGCAGCAGGAGGAGGAGGAGGAGGAGGAGGAGGAGGAGGAGGAGGAGGAGGAGGAGCAGCAGGAGGAGGGTTTCCATGGTAACAGGCATGATGTTCAGTGGGTTTTAAACTCACGTTACTGGTGAGCTCGTGGACCGTTCCATCTTTGGGCATGTTGTACTCTTTGTCCGGGTCGTTCTGTCAGAGAACAAACGCAGTGAGTGATAACGATCGATCGCTGATCGATCGATGACACGACGATCTCCTGCCTTGATGCTGTCGGCGAACTCCTCTAGAGCTTTGGCTCCGATCGTCTCCATGGAGGTGATGAGCGTGGGCAGCTTGTTCTTGGTGCTCGCCGCCGTCCCCTGCACAGATACGGCTGTGTGAACAACGGGATGATCGGTAAACACAGACGGGATCGATGTGGGGCCGCTCGGACCTGCAGCGTGGAGTCGAACTCCGACTTGTTCATCTTCAGGTGCCGCAGGATGGGGAAGATGGTGAGGATGGCGGAGTAGTCGCGCCGCTCGATGGCTCGGCGAGCGGCGAACACAATGTTGTCTCCTTCCAGCATCAGGTTGTTCAACGCCTCCTGAACACAAACAGGACAGACAGGAAGTGACCTACTGTACGACAGGAAGTGCTGCTACATGTCAGTCTAAAGTTTACAAATTAAATAAAATCCGTTTCAAACTGAGGTCTGGAGGATTTCCTGTCACATGATAATAAACCATATTTTATCTACAAATATCAAGAATATGATTTAGTTTTTAACAAGGACTTATCAATAAAGAAGCAGCAGACGGTTGGAGACGACTTTTAAAAAACAGATTCTCCGTCTTCCAGACGTGACGTCATATTTAACTTTAACCACTGGAGATTCAAAGGAAACCAACATTTTCCATAAATCTATTATTTATAAAAGCGTACATCAAAAACCAGCAGAGAGCCCTGAACATTCTCTTATTTATAACCTCAAAAATACTCGGGTTAATAAATAAAAACTTATTTTAGCAGAAAAAAAAACTTGCAAAGATTTAAATTAACAAAATGCATCCAGAAAATCCTCTACAGAAGTCCCTCGCTACTTCGCGGTTCGTTTATCGCGGACACGCTCTATCGCGGTTTTTCAAAATAAGATTAGACATGACGCACAACTGGCCGATTGATGGATGAGCTGCACGATCAACATGGATTTTTATTTAAAATAAATTATTTTAAAGTATTCAGCACCTGCTGCACCATTGTGCAGCTCAAACTGCAGGATAAACTTCCTGCTGCAGCTGATCAGCTGATCTCCATGCAGCAGAGAAGTGGGCGTGGCCAAGAGCGCTTGCAGGTGGCAAAGAGCAGAGGAGGCGGAGAGCTGAAATCATGACACTGTCTCTTTTAGAGTTTAGAAACATTGTCATATATATATACATATATATATATATATATATATATATATATATATATATATATATACACACACACTATAAAAATACATAAATAAACTACTACTTTACTACTATTCCTACTTTGCGGTTTTTCACTTATTGTGGGTCTTCAGGGTACGAATCCCCCGCAATAAACGAAGGACTAATGTATATTGTTTTAAACCAGTTATATTTCAAACATAACTGATTTATGATCATTAAATAATTAATTTATTTTAATCAGTTCTGTTTAACTAACAGGAGGAAACTAAACTTCAGTAGTTTTTAAATATCAGGTCATTTTTAGCAGCAGATACTGAACTAACCAATATTTAACATTTTAAGTCCTAGACTTTAAAAATAAAATCCTCGTCTGTAAGTTTTCAAATCATTTTCTTAATCGTGTTAAAACGGTTTCAATTTGAAGTTTATTTATCATTTAATTTGAAATGAGAAGGTTTGATGAGGATATGATTTATAAATAAATAAAAGGTGAAAACAAAGTAATGTTTGGTTGGAAGCCGAGCGAGGCGCTCGTTTTGTGCGTCGGACCTGGATGAGGGAGTCGAAGGTCTTCTTCTGGTGGTGCTCGGGGATGATCTCCGTCAGCAGGACGTACTCGCTCTGAGCCAGCTTCACGAACGCACTGATGCAGTGGATGTACGAGTCGATCTCGATGTCCAGCACGTCGTCTTTCCCTGAGAGGGACACGGACAGCTGCAGTCAGACAGGAGCTCTGCGGTCCCGTTCAAAACTCCTGATCCACCGCTCAGATTTAGAACTCACTAATGAGGAACCAGAACTTTTTAAAAGTAGTTCTCAAGACCAGATCCACAAAAACCAGCAGCAGAGACCGAATCCTGCTGGATGAAGAGCCAGCGTGACTAAAAGCAGCAGGTTTATCCAGTTCGAACAGCTGGATGTTGGTATTTCACATCAAACGGGACAGAAATGAGCAGTCTGTAAACTTCCTCCATGACTGAAGACCCCTCACATCTTGTACGACTCAGTGGAGGTCTCGACTTCAGGAACCACAGCTCTGGACTTCCTGAAAGTCTTTTTGTTTGGACTTTTTTCACAACATATTAAGAATCACCTTGTTGGTGGTGAAATATAATTTCCCATCAAACTGTTATCTTTACTGATAAAAACACAATAAATGCCTTTGTGACGGACCAGGTAAGAAAAATATCTGATATAAACGCTGCTAACTTGACCACAAAATAAGGGTCAAAGTTAAAAACTAGAGCCTGACTGATAAATCAGTAGGGCTGATAATTTAGGTCCATATAGGTGTTTGAGGACCCATCAGTATCTGTGATAACCGTCTCATTATTTACCGATAAACACTTCCAATTTTCACCCCTAAAACGATGGAATCAGCCATAATGTTACAATGTATCCAGCGGAGGGCGCGTGATAGCTACAAGTCACGGTCGTTCACTTAAGTTTCATTTTCAGCGCAGCCGAAGCAGCGCGCAACACTGTGTGGAGTATTTTACTGAACAGAGCATGGTGAGTTTATTTTAACTGCTCTGTAAAATAAATCAACAATAATAAATTCTCTTCAATCCTACAACCTGCTTGTCATTAGCTACGTGCCTCTCAAGTTAGCATGCTAACTTTTAGATAACCTAGCATAGGCTACAGCCTTGTAACACTTTATCCAGAACAATAAATCTAACGTAGAGGTAAAATATGTCAGTGTCAGTAACTTTATCTTTGTCGTCCTCAATGAAATGAATTGTTTGTCTGAAATATTTACTTCTCTGCAAAGAAAAATAAACTCTGCTGCGGTCAGTCTAAGTATAATATGGATCTGATTAGCTTAGCTTCATGGTTGCTAACAGCTGCACTAAATAAACAAGCCCCGCTCCACTCGCTGTTTAGATTCTGGACAAAGTTTAAATATTTTCAGCCATTATTATCGGCGGTCGCCTTCCCCTCCCAATATCAGTATCAGCGACCGCCAAAGTTTCCACATCGCTCGGGCTCTAATAAAAACACTAAAAACACAGACAGATCCGGAGAATTACCGGAGAACTCCTGTTAACGACCAATTTAAACGATTACAGGAAGGTCTGGCTGCGTTGAATAAACACTACAAGAGACGAAGTGGATCAGGACTTCAGAACAGGACTGTGGACGTCCTGGACTGGGCAGCTAACGTTCAGTGACATCACAGCGTGGCGTTTCAGCAGCAGGTGAGTTTTAATGTCACGACTTCCTGTTTTCACTTCACCACCCCTCGTTCTCTCGGCACTCACCTGTGGCGGCCCCGTGCTTCTCGTTCAGGGCGTCTGAGGGGTGTTTGACCCGCGGGTCATGATCGTGTCCTGCTGGGTGGAGGGAGGGTGGGGGGACAGCACAGACACTGGTCAGACCAGCTTGGGGGGGGGGGGGGGGGGGGAGAAAACCAGGCCCGGGGAGGGGGGGGCTGGCCCGGCCCCGGAGGGCGGGGGGGGGGGGGGGGGGGGGGGGGGGGGGGGGAAGACAAACCTGACCCTGGAATCAGCTGCTCTGACCGCCACCAAGAACCAGTGAGGAGGCAAGTGGAGAAGAGAGGACACCCACTGAGGTGTGTGTGTGTGTGCGTGCGTGTGTGTGTGTGTGTGTGTGTGTGTGTGTGTGTGTGTGTGTGTGTG